ATCTCCTTCTTCTTTCCTCTCTCTCTCTCCTTCTCTCTCTCTCTTCCTTATTCTCTTCCCTCTGTTTAAAATCCGACAAAAAATAACCTTCGTAAAAAAATAAAAACCAGCTAATTACTTGTAACAACCAACTAACAAAAAACCAACTGATTAAGTAATGATTAAAAGAAAGTGAAATTTTATTAGAATTTTCATCAATGAAATTTTAAAAAGATATAAGGAACAAAGAAGAATGCTTTTCCTTCAAACTCATTAAGCATTAAATAAATGATTATTTCAGGCATTTGCCGACGGATTAGCATTTAAATTTCCGGATGCTAATGAAGTATGGATATCATGTGCAGTAACAACGTGTCTACGTAAATTCGATCAATTTATTATCACCAATAACACTGACTATTTGTGTCCTAAGGAACCAGTAAGTCTATCTATGCTTCACTTTTTAGCGACAATTCTATTACTTGTTATTAAAACATTTTTGTGAAGTTTACTCAAATTGTAATTTTGATTGTTTACTTCATTTATACCCCTATAAACTATAATTTAGCAAGTCTTATTTTTACAGAAGGAAAACATTTTTTCCCTTTCATTCTCCATTGTTCCGATCTTCATTTCTACCAAATTTCTAATAATTCGATCTTTTTTTTTAATTATAAACAGCCCTGTGGATCTTTGATCTTATAGTTTATATGTCATCTTAAATATGTCATATGTCACTTTTCATGTTCCTTTTTTTAAATGGAAATTACATTCCAAATGTAAATTTATTACATTACATGCTAAATTTATCACACGTTTATTAACTTCTCTCATCTTTTGTATTTCAATTTATTTTAGAATGAATAATCGTTATAGGATTGCTCCAAACGAATAAAACGATCAGTGGAAAAAGAAGAGAGGAGTATTGAAATTTATTCAACAGATAACTTAGTACATTACAAGCTTCATGTTATCGATCAACCAGTTCATACTTTACCTTATCAAAGTAACCTCTTCTTTTTCACATTTGTTTCTTTATGAAAACAATTTGAGCGTATTTGTAGTATTTCAAGAATTTGAAGCAAAAGAAAACAAAACGAAAACTAAGATGTAATCTGAAAAAATATATGTTAGGAACTTGTCGCTTAAATTTTTCGCCTTAATTTCACATTGTTGCATCTATTAATGAATAATTTCGAACGGAAATTGAGCTAATTTCAGATATAGAAGAAAAGACAATGAGGCCCTTTGACGAAATTTGTGTTGATAAGAAAATCTTCGCTGGAACATTTGCCGCCTTAACAACAGCATATTTAGCTATGATAACGGTAGTGGGTAGTTTTGGTCTATCGATTTATCGATCTCAGCGCAAACAATGAAATTATAGCTCGACGACAATACTTTTTGTATAGACAAAATTTTCACATATTACGACTGGAAATGATTCAAAAATAGTACTTTTTGTAAACTAATTTCAACGATTCGGCTTACTTATCTGTGTGATATCGATCTAAAATTGGCGTTGAACGATTGTCAACACTATCGATGGCATTCAACAATAAATTCGAAAATTCGCTTTTTTTCTTTCAAATTTGTTAATGTCTATTGTAGTCTCTTTCAAAATGTTTATTAAAATGCGAAATATAAGAGCAATCGGGAATTCTTATTTATTTCTTTGTTTCAAGAACAAAATACTTTTTGTCAATCCTTTGGCAGAACTCAGTTAAATTTGAATATCGGCGAAGATAATTCTTTAACTCCATATTTGGCAGTTCTGTTGTCAGGATGGTATAAAAATGACCGAATGCCAAAGCATCTAGCTCAGTTGGTGAATCGCCGAAAAAATATCTTAAAAGGTGGAAATTAAAAAATGAAATTGAAAACTGAGAATGTTTTTAGGAATAAATAGAACAGTTTCGGAATGTGCAAAGAAGGACCACTCATATCACGACTTCAAAACCAATATTTTGAAATACAAACCCTCTCAGTTTAATATTTAAAAAGAAAAATCTGGAAAAAGAAACTAACTCATTGTGGTCAAGTTTCGACGACAAACTTTTGAAGCATCGGTCAGCCAGTTCCATTATGCATTCCTGTGACTTACTTTTCCAATCCAGAGCAGTTAAATAGTTGCTCACTTCACGACGTTTCGTTCGTGGTAAAATAATATTCAGTGGAAACAGATACACTGAACCGTATCTGTACTTCGTTACCTGAGAATAATTCCTCTTGTCCATCCACATCATATGTATCTGTAATCGAATAAACTTCGCAGTGGTATAGAAATTTAAGACGTTAGCATAATTTAAATTCCAGAAAGGTCAAGCAAACTGCATTTACAGTAAAATTTCAGTTTTGTTCAGGAGAAAGAGCACTTCTAGCAGTCAAAAACAAAAGTTTCAGCAGAGGTGAATGCCTGAAAACTGCAAACTGAGTGGTACCTCGACATTTTTAAGAATGTCATCGAAAAGAGCCATATGTGCATGCATATCTCCTCGTTCTAGATCCGTCAAGCCGGCCGATAATTTTACATTCTGTAAGAGAAATGAACTATAAGTTTAATCATGTGAGGTGATTTAAGTTACGATTTAAATTCAAAAACCGAAAATGTTGAGTTTTAAATAGCAAGAATTTTGGAATATATTGTTTCAAACGAAAAAGAAAATTTTTTTTGGATCGAAAACAGAATTACATAAAACCTCACACGTTTTGCAAGAAAATCAACAACTGGTAAAAACTCGGGTATCAGAAATGACTGCAACTTCAGGAAGGGTACTTTCCCGGTCGGTGACATGAATTCAGCATTAGGACGCTCTTCTAAGCGAATCGGTAACTTTGCCATTCGTAACAATGTCCGTACAGCCAAGCAGTCAGCATACTACAGAAGATATAAAAATGTAATTGATTTGATCAATTATAATTAAACATCATAAATTGATGGTTATTACGTTAAGTGCATTCTAATAACAACTATGCCAAACAGCTATAACCAAAATTTTCATTTTGCACTTTAGCCTTAAAACTCGAGAGATGTCAACAGACTTCATAAAGTAAGGCTTGCGTATGATAAGGTGTGTATAGCACAGCATCATTCCAATCCACATCAACTTCAGATGACAGGCTATCGGCAACAAGATCGGTCATAAAGTAGCTCCCTGTCATCGTTCTAGTTATCGATTCCAGACACCTACAAATGTTTCATAGAGATTTGTGAGTAACAAACTACCGTAATCGCCATCATAAAAACCTGATACGACCGATCATTCTATGTTTGATCATCGATTTAGAAATCAGTAGTCAAGCAGAACTCAAGAAAACCTCAGAAAACTTTCTCGTGAAGCCAAGTTGTCGCATAGAACTCTCACGAAACGAATGGAAGTGCCAACAACACCTTGATTTGCTTCAAATTTCCAAATCAGACACCTACTGTTATCCCCTTTTAGCTCCCGATAATCATTTAAATACTTTTTTTATATACTACTTTACAAACACTAGAACTGCTAATGATTCTCGACTATATGAAATAAGTGACGAATATAAAAACGCAAGCACAAAATATTAAACATAATACTATAGAGAAAATTTATGGATGAGCTTTCTTATCCTCCTTGGTTCGATATTCGGTTATCACTTAGTGAAGAGTAATTCCGGATAATACACTTCACTTCAGATATCAGTAATCTTCGATGTATTAGAGAATTTTCATTGTGTAACCATAATATACAAAATTTTTCTCTTTTTTTGCATGATGAACTAAAGTAATGTGAATCTGTATGATCAACAGGTGCTATGTTGTAAATTCTACTCAATGGGAGTAATTTATTGAACAGTGCAAGGAACAAAAACAACAACTGATCACGTTAACAATCTTGAAATTTAAAGTCCTGGAAAAAATTATGGAATATAAACTAATTTCATAATTTCGCAACTTTTTTCCGCCTGTTTTTGAAAATTCCATTCTTCCTGATAGTCCCCTGAAGAAATCAATATGAGTATTCAAACCTATTACGTATGAACAATAAACTATCAGGTATGAACAAAAGATGTTATATGCAACACCCTGTCCAGAACAGAAGTGTGCTCTAAATAAAATATGCGCGTTGTTTTTACTTTAAAGTGACATTTATGAGTTACAAATCTGAAGAGAGAAATGGTTTTTCACACTTCCCATAGTATAAATAAACAATTTCTTGATCAGAATTAACCATATATTGAATTCATAAATTCATTCTTGAGAATAAGGTAGGAAAGCAGGCACTGTCACTTGATATCCTTCATCTTAAATTTTGCTTGGTAATTGAAAAAACTACCTTTTGTGTATTTTGCAAAGCTTCTTTAAGTTTTGTTAATGCTTGTTTATATAGCTCTTCTGTTTCAGCATCTTTCGCACCCTCGAAATTTCTTTCTTTAATCTTTCCAGTGAAGGAAATTTTTTGGAGGGTAGTTTGGAAATCTTTTTTCTGAAAATACAAACAAATATGCACAAATCTAAAAGAGGAGGTGCAAACATTCAAGTATGAGAAGAACTAATAAACAAAAGTAAAACCACTTCTTTAGTTGAAATGAGGAAGACAGCTTTGCCCTTCTTGCCGCATCTCGCCGTTCGCCCTATGCGATGGACAAATAATCTTTCGTTAAGTGGTTTATCATAATTAATTACAACGTCGATATCCTCGACATCAATCCCACGAGACAAGACATCACTTGAAATAAGCACTCTTGTCGTACCTTTCCTAAACCTGAAATAATTTTTAGATAAAGAATGAATCGATTAAGCCGCTCAATATTTTTCGAAAACAGCCGTCAGCTATGAAAATTTTATAAAAATTGCAATAACAAATTTTTCTTTACTAAAAAGCACATGGTAATGAAGATAACGACAAATTTTATGTCCAGCTAACATTCAAAAAAACAATGTTTGATGCACTTTGCAAATCAGATATTGCACCTCGCTAGCACTTTTTGTCGCCGATTACCAAAGAGATTTGATGAGAGTTCTTCGACTTGATATTTTCCAGCGCTCAGCATTTTCAATAGTATTGTAAGTCGATAACTAGCCATCCTAAAAATGGAAAGGATACCACACTTACACCAAGTCCTAAAAACCATACCTATGAAATCACTCCTCCTTTAGTAAATTTCTAGTGGCTGATAGGGAAGCGAACTTTTAAATTCTGTATTCATGTAAGACGTCAATTTCGATGCGCTTACTTGCTGTTAACGAATATTAAAATCTTTTTCCAAGATTTTTCGACCTTCGATTCGTTCATATGTTGCAAGTGGTTTAAATTTTGTGTCACAAATAATATATTCAATTTTTAATGAGGTTGGGATGATAACACTGCTTAAGCTTAATTCATTCGTTACGATGACATCTTCTTTCACTGCTCTGCAAAGGAAATATTATTTAGCATAATTGAAAAAATTTAGGAAATACAGCAAAGATCGAAAAAAGGTAGATGGGCTAGATTATTCACCGACTCATGGTAGAATTGAAACAATTACTATTATTCAACTAAAAGTATAAAAGTTTGTACTTGAATAGACGAGGATGTCGAAGACGCCATTCATGAAGATCTTCAACATCCAAAGATAAGGTAGCAGAAAGCAGTATCTTTTGCAAGAAACTTGCGTTATAAAGATCATCAATTGTGACACAATTATGGCTATCTGAAATAAAACAAAATCGCATTTTGGTGCCACTTCTGATTATTTTCCTTCAAAGAGCAACTAATCAAATCTTCAAATGAAATGGTAATTGCTCGAAGAAAATCCGACTCTGAGGATGATAATTTCTCAATCGAAAAAGGTTATTACTGAATATTTTTTATTAAAGGCATATTCATCAATTATGTATTTCCGTCGTTAGTCTTCCAAGAACTACTACCAATAATATTATCATGTAAAAACATGGTACAGATTTTCATGAATCTTTGAACAACTCCGTATTTTCCTGATCATGGGAAAAGAAAAACATCTCAGCTACTGTTCATTATAGAGACAACATCTCAATACAACATAATACTTCAATGCTATCTAAAGAGAGCCTGCTACTAAAGCGAGTAGATTACTTCTATCCTGACTTCAGGGTATTTCTTAAAGCTTTACATAAAATAAGTAATACAATTTGCAACAACTTCGAGATCGTTAAGCCATTCGATACGAGCTGTATGTGACATACGATCTGCTTCATCTACTACCAAGTATCTGAAAAAATTTTGAAAATTTTCAGGGAAATCAAATTATACACAACAGTGTGAATCTGCATAAACAACAGATACCATGTTAGATTCATATTACTCACCAATGACTTATCAAACAAAAAAGCAACAGCTGATAATGTTAATACACTTGAAATTCTGTTTTATTATATTTTAGAAACTTCGGATAGCCTCTTACAAACTTCACTGATGCAGATTTTGAAGAAATGTCCAAATTAGATGTCTGCTAATTACAAACCGTAAGTGCGTAAAATCGACAGGGAAATCTAGATCTGTTATGTGTTCATTAAACGACCCGGCGTTGCTATCGCTATATTTGCGCTTTCGAGATGCTGTCTTTCAACATTAAGATCATGACTTCCGCAAAGCGAAGCGATACGTACATTGAAAACATTATATTTTTTGAACTCCTAAAAAACTGATACTATATAAAGAGTTTCAGCAATAACTATATAAAACTGAGATAAATTTTTTTTAATCTAAGAGAATAGGAACCTTTATCATTTATCGAATGCGTACCTTTTCTATTTGATCAACAAGATTCTGTACTGGTGCCACAATTAATGCAAAAAGATAACCCATCATTGTGCAACCACGCAAAGCATTTAAAATTGGAATTACATAACACAGTGTTTTACCACTGCCTGTTGGAGAACTAATCACCAAATCTCTAAAAAGAAGAAAAATACACATGAAATAGTTAGAAATAATGGAATTCATAAAAACTTGGAAGTCGCTAGATGAAGACATCTAAATGGAAACATTTAATCGAAAATCCGCAAATCTTTATACTCACTACCAAAAATAATTACTCAACAAAAGCTTAGGTGAGTGAATCTGTGGTCAGTTTGTTTTAACTCTTCCATATTGTCTCATCATGAAGCTAATAATTTGACAAATTAGCGAAATTTGAAAATATGTTACTTCCGTCTGGAAATTAGTAGAGGATAAAACAAAAGATAGCTTCATCATCCATCGACTATTATTTGATAGAAAATATTTTTGGAAAACTTTGTACGTTAGGTAACAAACGCAAAACACATTAGAAAAGCTATCACCAACGTTCCAGACAAATATAAGAGACGTGCTGGCTTCATCGCTGAAAGACCTTTTAACATCTGATAAACGTTTAATTAAATTGTAAACCTTGGAGGAAAAATCGAACAAATGCTACTTGCAGCTACAAGATATGGAAGAACTGTTCGCTGGACAGGATACCACTTCTTGAGGTGCTCTCTAATACGATGTGCAAGCAAAGGATGCAAACCTTCGACAGAATCAAGCTCCGCACAACTTTCTTCACCCAGTTCTGACGCAAATGTTTCACCTTGTCTAATCCACGCGGGCACAACACTGGAAATTACGACATATTAATAACTCATCATGGTTAGCTGATTATCATTCCTATTTTGTCCCTTTTTAGTGAGATCATGACATAGCAAATCCGGTAAGACTCTCCCTCTTGGCTATTCAAAAAAATAGTAAAGACTTCTGACCTTGCTGAAAACTTCCGTTAGAATTACTTGACCTAGTTTTATTGGATGACTTGGTCACTTACTCGATTTTCTTCAAATTTACGAAAGTGTCATGTCCCAATACTTCGTAGATATGGTTCTCCGACTCTTCAGTTTCACTCATTTCGTCATCTGGAATACTTGTTCCTGGTCTTTCATCATCTGAAACACTTGTTCCCGACTCACCCTCCTTTTCATCAACTTCCATTCCAGTCTTCGAACTGAAAGTATTATAACCGTATATATATGTTATCTGTATCAAAATCGACATAACCCGTGAGCGTGAGCCTTCTAAATCTTCTAGTATGCGGATCATTTCCCTGCTCCCGCAAAACGAAAACTAGCAGCACAGAGGCAGTATGTACAGAAGTCTCATTTTTGCTAGAAATTCACAAACAAATTCAGCAGCGAAATACTTTGGAAATCCTTCTCAAACTTGAAGAAAATTTTTTGGATGGACACTGAATGAAATAGTTTAGAGTGACAAGATAAGCAACCATATCCAAATATCACAATAAGGGCGAAGACAAACGAAATATTCAAAACAAGTATCTTATTTTATGGTGCAGTACATTGCATTAAGGAACAAACTGCGAAACCAACATATCAATTTACTGAAATATGACAAAATGCTAACAACAAATATGTTGAATGTAGGATATCATTTTAGATGTTTTTCTATAATATCGAGATCTTCAGTACTTTCACGTACTACATCAATAACTCTTTCCAACGCCTCCTGAGCTCGAGATAAGTATCTAAAAAAAATTGAAAGTTACATATTTATGTTTACTTTGAACAGATACAATAAAGACGAATTCAGCATAAAGTAAAAAATTAATTGTTAATAATCTAGTAGATCCAATTCGATTTCAAAAACAAAGATTGCATTAGCCACTGCATCAATAACTCGAATTTACAAGTAGGAGTTATAGTAACTCCTACTTGTAAATTCGAACCCTAGAATTTTGATAAATAATTAAGAGACAACATGTTCAGACAGAACATCACAACTAACTTTACAGATATAAATAAATGATTGAGTAAACAAAAGAAAGTTGTATGGTTGGTTGATAAGACTCAATTATACCAACCTTTTAATTTGTGCCACATCACTTTCAGTGAATTTTAGCCTTGTCCCATCTGCTGCTTTCAAAGTTTCTGCTTCGCTTCGTAAAATAGTTAACAAATCATTAATTCGACTCTTAAAAACAAAAATAAGATCAGTAAAAAAAAACTAACTCCCATTTCATTTGAAGACTTTATATACCATCCGAATACTTATCTCTTTAACATAATTTAACTGCACAAATTTAAAACCTTGATTTGATCCGGTGCTATAAGAGATGCATTCAATGCTTCAAGACGCGTTTCGAGTTTCTCTTCGACGCTATCTATGCTAATTGTATAATGTTGAAGAAGAGACTGCATTGCTAAACAACGTAACAAGCGATGCGATAATTCTTTATGTCTTTGCCTACAAAGAAAGATAATAAAATCATAACATAAAAGGCAGAATTGCTGTAAAAAATAGAATGCAAAATATGGCGAAAGGAATTTGTAGTGGAAATTTCTTCATCATAAATTTTAAACGTTCATTTTCTAAAAATAACGAACCGCTGATACGAACACTGGTTTTGTCCTGCTATTAATTTACTATTGATTTGAACAAGTCTTTGCTTCAGTTCCTCAATAACACGCTCTTCAAGACGTATTTCTGCTGTCTGAAAGGGTTGCCATAGCAGAAGCAGAAGTATTCATATCCATGAGGACCGAATATCCATTTATACTCACTCATAAGACTGACCCCAGAAGAGAATCATTTCAAAACCTGGACATTTTTACCTGCAATTCTTGTCTTTTACGTAACTGCTCAAAGCCTCGGATTGGGTAAGGAAGCAATTTATCAGGATCCGGATTTTCTCGAACAGCTTGTTGCCAAATTTGTGAATCGAATCCTAAGCAAAAGTACAACTTGAAACACTTCCAAATTGAAAAACAACTTTTTAGGTTATAATTATAAATCGACTTATACCCGCTGGAGGATTTTTAATGAAAGCATGCTTCTTCGCATCATCTACAACCGTACGCGAAAGAACATTTACAACGCAAAGCTGATTCTTTAGTTGCGCATCTTGTGTAGGTTGTTTCAAGAAAGCACACAATTCTTTACTACTTGATCTGCCTTTGCCCTTCTCTGTTACATATAGCAAAACCTGAAAAACAAAGTAAAATGGCTGTTAGCAATTGAATCTGCAATGAAATAACGAGGAAATAATCTGTCCATTACGATGGTTTCTCTTCCTCGCGTATATATTAATAGATTAGTTTGAAATTGAAACAGCATACTTCAGTTTGATTATCGGGAAGTGGACGAATAAGTTCGATATGTGCTCGGACATTTGTATTATTGCCTAGTATAAGATTCATCGAATCTATGAATTTCTGCCGCTGAGTAACTGTTGAAAGCTGCTCATAATTGATTCCTAGAGTCAGAGCTACAATACCATCGCTATCACAATAATCACTTCTTCTGAAAACATTTTTCAATATTCAGTGATGTCCAACTATGATTAACCATTACCCATTAAATATATGCTTAATTAAAACTGTCATATAATGGGAAATCTTATTTCATGCACATCGATATTTTAAAAACCAAGTTCAACAAACTTGGTTAAACCACTGTTTTTATTTCAACTACTGTTTTTATTTCATTCCATAATAATTAATATTTAGCCCAGCTATACATGGTAGGATAATAGTGCTAGTCTTTACATGCGTAAGAAACTCCTACTTCTACAAAATGAATTACTTCCTTCAAAAAGCACCTTACCGTATGCCAAAACCTCAAAACAAAATGAAATACAGAACAATCAAAATCCAAATGTATTTACTGAAAAAATGTTCAATTTACTACTTACCTACTATAACCAATCGCTTTAAACTGATAGAAAGGGTTTTCTGCAGTGTAAGAAATGGGTTGCTGATCACCTTTATAATACCCATTACCAATTCCGCATGCAGATAAAAGCTGATTTAATTTCGCAATAATTCCATCTCTTTCATCGCCAAAAAGATCTGGTGATGTCAAAGATCGAATGAGGTATTCTGAGTTCTTAAAACATATTTATTTGACTGACTAAATATTTCTGCATTTTAGATGATTTTTTTAACTTCATACGACCTTAAACCAATATTTTAGGCAAAAAAAAAATGTGCCACATATCTCGAAATAATATGAAATTGAACATTTTAAAGTGAATATATCATTCTCTTTTGAACCAAAGTGGAAGTCATCAATGATAAAACGAAAATGTTATAACCAAACGTCTAGTTTCGGAAACCAGAATGCAATTCTACCTGTATTAAATCTTGTACTGTTGAAATTTGTGAAGCTTGTACAGTTGATGCAGTTGAAGTACCTGATAAACCAACGGATTTCGTCCCGGATGACAACAGACTTGTTGAAGAAGTTGTTGATCCGGCTGGAAACAGATTAGTCGCTACAGCATCAAAATAGCCAATTTAAATATATTTTCTGTATAATGAATGAACATTATTAAAATGAAACAAAAAATTTCGCAAAACATACGAGAAACGAAGGAAAAAAGGAGATTAAAAGCAAATAAAACAAAAAATTTCGCAAAACATACGAGAAATGAAGGAAAAAAGGAGATTAAAACCCTCGTATAATGAAAGACCAGATGAAAAGATGATTGGAGATCCCACTATTTATCCCTACCTTTCAAAACAAAAACTAGATAAAGATTAATGACAACATATCTGAAATCAAGAGTACTTAAGACGCAAAATGCGAGATGCTTAAAAAAAAAATACATGATGCAACAGCTACTGTTTTTCCGAGCCCTTGTTTTCATCTCAAGAAGATGAAAAGATGCTAAATAACATAACTCTTGAAAAGATGATAAATAATACAAGTCAGTTTAAAAAAAGAAAAAACTACAAGTCAGATTTCGGTAAAAGTTACGTTTCGAGCCAAATAATCCTCCAGATTGTGCAAAAGTGGGTGTTGTTGTCGAAGCGCCAAACAAAGACGGCTGTGCAGTCGTCGTGGCGCCAAATAATGGTTTATTGGTTGTGCTGAAATAAATAGCAATCGTTATTAAATTGCGATTGAAATCTTCCCCATATTTTTTAATACTGCCTATTCGAAGTAAGCTGTTATTCCCATTATTTACATTCAACCTTTTATTCCCTTTATTTTGACATCATTTTTCCTTCATTATTGTGATAGAACGTAACAAGGTATGTGGATGACAGCAGTTAAAATGGTCGTCTACATTTCCTGTACTGCAACCTGATATTTAATCAAACTAAGCCATTTTCGATATATTTAAACACTGCTTTCTTATTAGAAAGTCCGAATATGACTGATCCGGTTCAGTCATTCACAATGACCATATGAGCAAACGGCTATCTGCCCAAATCTTTTCATAAAAATCCATGGTAACAATGTATTTAAAAAGAAGAAAGAAAAACACTACTAACCCTGAGGTGGCAGTTCCAAAGGTAAAAGCTGGTGTGGAAGTTGAAGTACCAAAAGAGGTGGATGAAGTAGTGCCTAGTTTTGATCCACCAAAGAAACTCATCGTCTGCCTAAACGATGCATCAAAACTATGAAGTTTATATACTCCAAATCGTAACACGCTATTCATAAAGAGAACATTTGGATATTTCCAACAACAGAAATTTAAATATAGTGAGAAAGTGGATGTAAATATATAATTTAATACAAACATACTACAAATATAAGTATGAATATAAATAACTGCTCAAATACGAGTATAAACGAAAATAAGAATGCAACTATAAATATATGTATGAATGCGTAAAACTATTCCTTCTCAAGTCGAAAAAAAAAAGTAGAAAATGAGACATGGAAATATCTACAAACAAAGATTAGTATAATCTTACCTAAATTGTCATATCATAATCATGACCATTTATAATGCCGTTTATCGCAATCATTACCTAAACAATCCTTAATCAACCAAAAATTAAAAAACAGAATTGATCGCCAAAAACTCTCCCCACGGCCAGGTGAATCCAGCTTGTCCCATATGTTGCTTATCATCTCTTCCGTTTTTCGGTGTAAAAGCTGTCTCATTTACTTCTTGTTATGGAAATGAGTGGATATGTTATAATGCTTATCACATATCAGTTGACATGCTACTATTGAAATGATTTAGTAATAACTGTTTATTAGATTATCATGCATTTCTGCTACTTCCAACATTTTTGGTCAGTAATGGTTTATTCATTAATTGACAGTTCATTCATCAAGTTCGTGATGTTGTGTCTCTTTTTCTGCATTATTTTTATGAAATCGGTTACTTTCTTCTTCTCCGCTTTTAATTTTCCTTCTACTTCCCAGCTTTTTTTGCTTTTACTTTTTCACTTCTTTTATTTAACATTCTGAAACTTTTCCTTCTAAATATACCCCTTTGTAATATTTTTTCTACTCTTTGCTCTCATTTGATAAATGCCAGAATGTGTTGTTATTCAATTAAGCTGTCGGATATTGTTATATGTGTATAAATAAATAAATTAACTAATACGTAAATTAGTCAATTAATTAATTTGTACACGGATGTATATATCTCTTATTTGTACACTTAAGATTTAATTTAATGCTGGAAGTGTTTAAGGAATATATAAAAAGAGATAATTACATGTGTAAATAAATATAGTATTTGTAATTTGTATATGTATAGATCAATTTCCGTGTGATATGGCTGTGAAATGTAAAATATAAATATGTAAATATATGTTTGTGTACGCAATGTATATGTATGTTTGTATGTGTAGGTCAGTTTGCAGTTTGGAGGCATGAATATGAATATAAATAAATGAATATGTATATATATATATATACATGTATATATGAAGTTATCCTTTTTGTGTCAGATTGCTGCGTCAGAATAAAGCGATGAGAATATACCTGGACAGGAATGCATTTATCGACTCAGATAGTCTTTTTTTTTCTTTTTCTTTGTGGCGTATTAGGAATATAGAAGAGTAAAATGTATACTATAGCGATAATTTTTGTTTTGTTGTAAAAAAAACGTTCGTATGTATGCGATATGATGCAGTTAAACGGAAAAGAATGAAATAAATTTCCATAATTTTGTTGGTTACGGTGATAATGTTTGAATTGCTAAATTGCTGTTGCGAAAGTGGAAATTTTCAATTTGTGCCATTTAGTTTTTCTCTTTTCTTTATTTAATTTATTTCTGAAATTCTCGCACTTTAACATTACATTTTAATGTATTTTTATGTTTTTTCTTTTTCCTAAAAATTTCTTTGAAACACTTTCTGTAGAGATTTATCAAAAAATACTTTTTGAATGCTTACAGAAAGCACATAATGGCACTTGATTTGTATTATTATTTGACGTAACACACAAACACCACACATAACACACATACACACACACACACATATGTATATATACATACATACATGGACACACACAAGATATACACATGGTAAAGTTGGTATATTGTCATTTCTCATCCATCTCATTTAATGCATTATTATTCTACTTAAAACTTTTTGAATTTATTAAAATTTCAAATTAAAATTCCCCAAATACTTCAGTTCTATTCCATTTTTCCATCTGATTCAAGTAATACTTCTTCGACAGCTGGAAATTTCATCTTGTATTGATGACAGGTGGTTGAAACTGAGTTAAAACTTCATAACCTTTCTTGGAATATTACGTGTTTTACATGAAATTAATTTGAAATTACCCAACTATTATCCCTATAAACGTGTTTTGTTTTGTACGATTTGCGAGATGTTTTGGTATGGATTTGAGATCGAAGAATGGATTTGAGATTTTTCTCCTGCTTGAAATTCAAATTTGTCGTTTGAAATCGAAAGAAAGGAAATCCCTTAAAAGCTACAGTTTATTTTGGTGTAGCAATGGAGTTATCTATACCAAATACCTCTTTCTTTAAGGTTTCCTCTCGTGACGGTTTTACTTTATGAAATTCATATCGAACAACTAATCAATCAATCAATAATTTTGGTAAAATAGAAAATTTCTAAGTTTGCAAGATGAAATCTGAAGTTTTTAAAATGGTAGTGCCATAAGCGAAGAATTTTTCCAGAAATACTGGTTTTTTTTTGAAAGTTTTCAAATTTAACTATTTCGAAAATAGGAAAAATACCAATATATCTGTTTGACTTCAATGCCATGTTTTTGTGACATTAATGAGTTTTTTCATTCGTTTGACTTTTTCGACTAATTTGTTTTTATCAGTCCATTTTATCTTATTCAAAAATTATCGGGAAGAATTTCGAAATTTTGCTTCACACATGCTGAGTGTTTGGAACTTTCTCATGAAGGTTGATAATTTCACCTGATAAAAGATAAAGGTAGTAATTGTTGAAATGTTAGTGAGAACGAATATATATCTGTGTGAATTTCTAACAGTTTTAATTTTTATTTGTCCACATTCACAAAAGCACAAATTCATTCTTCCTTTTTTCTCTGCCCATTCTTAATGTTCATTTCCATTTTGATATTATTACTGAAAAACAACTTTAAGAAGTGTCTTTTAATATCACCATATCATTTTTATGATAATGTTACTTTTATGCTTTCCTGTATTGATGTCTTTTTTCGTATCTTACTAATGTTTATGTAAATGTGTTATAATTATAAACATCGATCATTCTCTATAAATCAATATTAGGGTCAAAGATCAATGTTAACATCAACGGTAATGGATCTTGATGAGCTGAAGGACGAATTTCGACAACGATTTAATTGTCGTGCGAAATATATTGTTCGTTGTCCAGGACGAGTGAATTTAATTGGTAATTTTTTTTTCACCCCTCCCCCCTCCCTAAAAAAAGAAAAAAACAAATAAATAGATTTATTCTTCCACGGAACTTTACATGATATTTCTTAAAAAAAAAAGAAAGCAATAATACTCTATTTGAATATATTTCAAATGAGACGAAATATTTAAAGAATGAATAATATATCCTTTTGCATGCAATTTTAAATTACGAAAGTTTGAAAGTTTTTTGATAGCAAATAAATACTTGAAGAAATGAATGGAAATAATTGTTGAATGATATTTGTTTATTTACACATAGATATACCACTGTAACAAATGGATTGTTTAATAATGGTACTAAATTTGCATAATTAATTGCGATGGAATATATCAATAATTATTAGAAAGATAAAAATAAGCATTAAAATCTTGATGAAGAACATAATGAAAGAACAAGTGTTATATTTTGCAGGTGAACATATTGATTACAGTGGCTATGGTGTATTACCAATGGCAATTAGCGCCTCAACATTTATCTTAGCTTCACTTCATGATGCTAATGAAATTGTTTTCCAAAACATCAATACAACATTCAAGTAAAGTTTCATTGTTGTGATGGGCTCTTAAGAGAAGTTTTATTTTATAGTAGGCTATCAAGCAAAATTTCGTTGTTGCAGTAGGCCTTTAATAAACTTTTATTGTTACAGTACTAAATTAGGTTACGAGAAATTCATTTTTCTCCTAACTCAAATGAGAATTTATTTTTGAAAATTTTGAAATTTACATGTAAAATATTAGTAAATTGTTATCCTTAAAGAGCGCACACATATAAATTTTGCGATAATTGGATTGGTAGTGAGAAACCTGAATGGTTTCATTATTTTTTATGCGGTTGGAAAGGTGTATTAAGACGTTTGAATGTGTTACCGAAAGGCATGAATGTATTAGTTCATGGTAGGTCGTCGTAATGCTTATCATACTACCAGAATATCTGATTCATAAAATAGCGAACGATTAAATTTAAACTTCCTTTTAATCTGAAACAGTTTAATTTTACTAAATTGCAGTAACACCTTTTTGATATTCGTCTCACCAATTGTAATACACTTTTAGACGTTATAAAGTCTTTATGAACTGCAAGGCTTATGTTTCATTCATTCCCAACTCTTGAGTTACAGGTACCATACCGACAGCTGCTGGTCTTTCTAGTTCTAGTGCTGTTGTATGCGCTGCAGCGCTGATAACACTTGCGCTGTATACGGGGCGAGCTTTTGATGTTATCAGTAAGGTAAAATTATAATTTGTGGCGTAAATTTTCACTCCAACTATATGGGGTTAGTGCACTGTCCGATCTGAGCACTGAACTTCTTAGTAAATCAATAAAAGCATGGCAGTCGCTTAGCATGCTGTATTGATTTATTGCGAAATCTAATTAATTCACTCTTGATCTATAATAGTTTTTCATTACAAATGAATTTATAAATGCGGATTGCAGACAGAATTTGCTGAATTGTGTGCTGAAATGGAGCGATACGTCGGTGTGGAAGGTGGTGGTATGGACCAAGCAATCGAAGTTTTAGCTAATGAAGGTTCTGCAATGCTCATTAACTTCAACCCGCTCAGATTTTCACCAGTTACGCTTCCCGAAAATGCTCTTTTCGCTGTGATTCATTCCGGAGAGGCATTTAATAAGGCAGCTGCTTCGCAATACAATGAACGTGTTGTAGAATGTCGTCTAGCAGCTCAGGTTTACGATTGATTCACCTAATACAGTTTTAAATGAATTTCGAGTTTTATTAGATTGCTTTATTCATCACGGATTTATGTTTTTGTTTTTCTATAATAATTATCGTTGTTTAAAGCCGCTTAAAATTTATTTGAAAGAATATTTAATTCAGATTATAGCAAAAATCTGTGAACTGGAAAGCTGGAAAGAAATCCGGACATTGGGTGAAGTTGCACATCAGTTGAGGAAGACTGCTCAGGAAATGATTGCCGTAGCAGAGGAAGTACTCTCTAGTCGTGTTTACACCAAGGATGATGCACTCAGCTTGTTAGGCATATCGAATGCAAATTTCAACGAAACAGTTCTTTCGGCGAACACTCAACACAGTTAGTTTTCCAGTTTGGAGCGTTAACATCTGGAAAATTGATGTATGGAACTTATTCGTTGGATCCGAAATCTCCAGCAAGACTAACGAATCCGAAAGTTTTTCAAGTAAAACTGAATAGAATGCTGAAAATTTGAGGACTGATCATATCTTACCAAAAAAACGTTTGATACCTCTTATATAATTATGCAAATTTTATGTATTTTATATATGTGTATTTACTTGAAATATTCGTAATCTCTTATCATCAGTATTCATTCTATCAAACAGTTCACTTTCTTTCGAAGAAATGTTGTAAATTTGACTGCAAATGTCGATAATGAAATGATCTGTTGTAAAGAAGTATGTGCATGTCATAGGTAATTTTCAGTAATTAAAATCGATCGACTCAAGGCATTTAAATCTTAAAAATTAAGGTTCATTTTAAGTAACACTTCTTTTATCAATTCTTTAAATATTTGCAGTGAAAATATTTAAATTAGCGCAAAGAGCAAAACATGTTTACACGGAAGCTGATCGAGTTCGTTTATTTCATGAAGCATGTAAAAGTGGTAATGTGAAAGAGATGGGAAAACTGATGAACGATAGCCATACTAGCTGTAAGGAACTATTCGAATGTTCCTGTGATAAATTGGATGAAGTGGTTAGTTCGATTAAAATAGTCTAATCAAAATATTACTTACAAATCGTTAATGGTATGACTGATATTGCTGATACTGCTCTAAATATTTTTGTATTTTAATCAAGACAGAACTATTGTATGCAACGTTATTTTGCACATTGCAGTAGATATTATCCGTGAAATGATTATTTCAGGTGGAAAATTGTTTACGAAATGGTGCATTAGGTGCACGACTTACAGGAGCTGGTTGGGGCGGTTGCGCGGTTGCTCTTTTTGACACCAAACAACCAGATCTAGAAGTATTGTTTTGGAGTCGACCTGCTAGTGGTATACAATTAATCAAATGCGATTGAAAAGAAGTGTATTGCAATGACTGGTTTGGAATTTGAAATGAATTTGTTTAAAGTATTTTAAGTTATCGTTGTCTTTCATACTTGTTCATCTTTTTTTTTTAATTTTTTCTTACGCTTTATGAAGATGCTATAATAATGCAAATCGGAGTCATTCAAACGGTTATCTTTATTAGATTCTTATATTACATTTAAATGAGAGGGATTAATCTTACGATTAAAAGCATTATGCTTAATTGGATTTGACCTTAACTGGACCAAATCAGTGTTTAGTTGACCAAGTCCTCAGCTAAGATTACGGGAAATTGAGTACTATATTTATTTCCAGGTTGCATATTCGACAATGTGATATTGTCCCCGCATCATAATAATTGTAAATTCATGTTACTGCCATATATTTTTTCATATCAGTTGAAGCTTTAGGAAAGATCTGATGTTTTGCTTATACATTAAATATTTCAATCGAAATGTGAAAAAGTTTTTTTCTTAAGAATATTAGCTTATTTCACTCTCGAAATTAATTATCTATCCCATATGCATTCCATAAATATTGTTTTATTGATATTTTATCACTTATTGCAAGTCTTTATCAGTTTATTTCGCTTATTCCTTTCTCACTTCACTTCTTTTCCATATTTCTCAGTTAAAAGCTCAACGTTTTTCCTTTTTTTTTTTTTTTTTTATTTATAATCAATGGTGGAATCATCGGAACCGTTAATATTTGTGCGATTTATTATTTCGATCTTCTTTCTTTCTTAATTCTCTTTTTCGTCCATTTTACATTTTATGTTTTACGTTACAATTAAATGAAGAAAATTGTTTTTACATTGTTGTATACAAAAAAAAAGCTAATGATATGATATCAATACACATGTGATTGAATATACTGATGAAACGGTAACGAAACAATTTCGTTCCATCGTTTATGAAAGATAAAGAAATGATATACTTCAATGTATTTTATTTGCTTATCATAAAACTTCTATCATTCTCTTCTTTTCACTCAGTTATCTTTTCATTTTACTCATTTTTTATTTTCTTGTAAAATTAAAATTTGAAAATTTCTCGTTATTAGTAAATTTAATTAAGGCATCTAATGTTTAAAGTTTTATTTATACACTAAATATTTCAATCGAAATATTAAAAAGTTTTTTCTGTTGAAAAATTCAGTGGAAATTTAGGAATGTTAGTTTATTTAACTTCCTAAACTAATTATCAGTCCCATATGCATCCCATAAATATTGTTTTATTGATATTTTATCATTTATTAAATTACTTATCGCAAATCTTTATCAGTTTATTTCGCTTATTCCTTTCTTACTTCACTTCCACATTTCCCTTTTCCATATGTCTTTCCCATACTTCTTTTCCATATATAGTTAAGAGTTATTGTTATTGTTAATTTAACATGGTATGATTAAATAAGAGAGAATTTGAGGAAGGAGAAAAATGAGTTATATTTATGGCATTTAAAATTAAAGGAAAACAATTTCATATTGCGAAACTCAATAATACTGAATGAACACTAAATATGATTATTGATAATAACGAGGGGAATTATTCAATTAGACTTTATTGATTTTATCGTTTCAATTTCAAATTTATGTTTAATACATTTAGAACAAACAAAATCCAACCAATCGTTGGAAATCAGATCTGTTTAATGTTAATTTGTTAGGGCCTATTTGTTTCAATTTCTATTGGTTTTTAGAAATAAAATTTAGATAATTCTAAAATATGAGATATCTTTCCCATTGTTAATGTTGTAATTTAATATGAAGCAAGTTTTGTCGAAAAAATTTGTTATTTCTTCACTGTTTGATATTCATTCGAAGGAGAGAGAAACAAATAGAAAGAGATAGTATTTCCTTTAAATTGTATTAAATAAGCTAACAACGTACGTCTCCGTCCACCATTGAGAGGGAAAATTTAAGTGTGAAATTGGAACTTAGAAATAAAATTTAAATAATTCTAAAATATGAGATAGCTTGATGTTGCAATTTTATATGAAACAAGTTTATGAGCAGGATAAACTTTTGATATCATTTCATTTTGATATGCAGAGAATGAGCTACGCGTTTAATCCGTTGACATGTCTCATGTCAACGGATTAAACGAGTATTCCTCTTAGAATGGAATATAGACAATAGTTAAATGTAGACATAAATTTTTTAAAAGTCTACTTAAAATATATTTTACCTTCTCATTTTCAATTTAATAAAATTGAAATATGAAAAAAAGTTACCTATTCAATTACTATTTATTAGCTATAATAGAATTTATTATGGAAAACAGAATATATGTGCAATGAATTAACCATAATTTATAAAGTATTTGAAAGAAAAGTAACAACGGAAAAGTAGAAGTAAACATAAAACATACATCTATATCATATCATATCAATAACAACATTGATAACACTTGATAACGACAAATTTGTAACGAAAAATTTACCGATTTTGAAATTCATTTGAATTAAATTTCGTTGAAAACCAAAATGAAATGAATACTAATATTGCAAATTTGCCGCGAAATTTATCAAAATTTCTATTGATTTTGATTATTTTTGATTAAGAAGAAAACGAAGTAAATATTGCTTTCAGTAAACAATTTAATATTTAAACACTGTAAATATTTAATATTTAGTGTCTAAATATTTATTATTATGTTATTACTAGTTATTATTGTTATTATTATATTATTATTATATCATTATTATATTATATTACAAACATTATTATTAGAAATATATATTAAATATTATGAATGAAAAATCAGCAAATATTTAAGCACTTAATTTAAATAATCAGTTTAAATATTCTATTTTTTCCTTCCCTAATTTAAAATACTCTTTTATTATTGATTTGCACTGAAATATTGCAAAATTTTGGCATTAATTAATAAAATATTGAAATATGAAATTCATATTGAAATACTGAAAGTATTTATAACTAGGAAATATTACAACGCAAATCCTAAAACAGACAATATGCATTTCGCTGGTAAGTTTTTTGGCGGAAGAATTAATTAACCTTTTAATATTTACTTCAATGAATTCTTCACGAAATTATGTATCACCTGATACGAATGATAGAAATTGAAATTTTAGAAATATCTTTCAAATCTTAAATCTTCAGAAAAAAAAACTTGTTGTGACCCTCGATTGGAATGAGATTAATGGTATGATAAAATGGAAATTAGGTTGATCCTATGATACACATAGAAAAAAGCCAAATTAAAAATTGTTCGCTATACTGAAATATTTTTCTTTTTAGCCAAGGGCCAGTTCTGAAAAATTTCTTATAATTATTGGTCATTCATAATTTTATCACTTGATTATTTTACAAAACAATAATCATTAAATTTAATTAATTTTATGAAGTACTGCTATTGTTGTTTATCGATTCTGTCACCTTTGTCCACTATGTATAACTTCGTAATTAACGTAACTTATATAAGTTAAAATTTTTATGCTATTTTATCTATATGGATGATATGTAATATGAAAAAAAAACAGGAATGAGTGTAAAGAGGATTCAGATATTATCATTGATTAAATTCCTTGTTATGTTGACATATATTATGTTAATGATGAAATTTTTCTTCTACCATCTCTGTACTAGTCAAATGGGTTAATAGCACATAAAATAGAAATATGTGTAAATTGCTCGTTAATTATCTTTGTTATTTACCGATTTAATTAATACTGTCCTTGACTATATTTAATACTGTCTTTGTTTACGTCTGTCCATTCACGTGTAATTTGGTAATCAATAACATCTAATAGGAACTAGTCCAATGGTCAATACAGTACAAAATAATGTGAACAAAAAATGGTGTAAACACTAATCAATAGAATTCAAACATTGTCGCTATTGTTCACTGATTCAATTACCAATTACATCTGTCTATTTACGTGTGAAATTTAGCATATTATGTGACCTTCCTAGGTTATACAAGTGAAAAAAATAACCATTCATCCTCTCTCTATATGTGGATCAGTGAAAACGAAAAGAAAGAAGAAACAGGCGGAATAACTCTTTGAAGTTTGTTTCTTCCACTTAATATTTGTGGATATCAAACAATTTCACTACAATAAAACTTTCAAGATTCTTAACACAGAAAGTTTAAAATTATATTAGACTGGGAGAATCACAACAATTCTTCGATTTTTACGATTGTTATGTCACACCATATATCAAAGATATGTTATCAGTTTGATTATATTTCGAAATCAGTCATTAATCATGTTATTATCACCTTCATATGGACCCCACGGTGATATTGACACTTACTGTGTCTGTTATCATTTTTATTCTTATTTTCACTGTCGAAATTACAGGTAGTAGTAATGTTTAATGGTGGTTACCGGACATTTCTTTGCCGTCTCTTCACATATTCCAGATTGATTTTCCACAAAATTGTTGCATTGCTTTCTTTGTCATTGTTATTGTCGGGAAAGCTAATTTGTGGAGTTCGTTTTTCAGTAATATAAGCTTATTCGAAATACATTATTACTGTACAGTATTATCAGTTATCAATGATAACAGAGAAAGCAAAATATACACGGTAAATTTGTAAGCAGTGATAAATGAGTAGCATTTTTCCCTATTATATATATACTAAGATTAGGGGAGGACCTTTTGGTGTTATCATAGAGGTATGAAAACCTCTTGGCATGTCCCCCCCTCCTTGGCATGTCCCCCCTCCTTGGCATGTCCTCTCTCCTTGGCATGTTCTCCCCTTGGCACGTTTCATTGTGTAGCTATGAATAGATACAAAGATGTCTTTTTTGATATTCTTCTCACTATGTTAGCATATATTCTCTTCATTGTCTTAATTTTATTTAAAGGATTCCATCATTCTGTCTGGCAGGTATTGTGGAAATTTTGTTTGAACGTAAGTTTAAGTTCGCTAATCCGATAGTTTTATTATTATTATTATTATTATTATTATTATTATTATTATTATTATTATTATTATTATTATTATTATTATTATTATTATTATTATTATTATTATTATTATTATTATTATTATTATTATTATTATTATTATTATTATTATTATTATTATTATTATTATTATTATTATTATTATTATTATTATTATTATTATTATTATTATTATTATTATTATTATTATTATTATTATTATTATTATTATTATTATTATTATTATTA